GTTTGTTCATGTATGTTTTGTGTTTGTTGTAAAAATAAAAAAACATTTATTAAAAAAAAAAAAAAGAATAGTAGGCAATAAAATTTGATGCCTTACATTCATTTCTTTCTCTCTATCTTATTCCTCTTTTAGTGACTTTTGTGCTGCTGATGAAGAATTTAGGAAAGAATTTAAAGTTCCACCATTTCAGGACTGCATTTTAAGTTTTCTTGGATTTTCTGATGAAGAGAAAAACAACATGGAAGAAATGACAGAAATGCAAGGTAAATATGAAAAAGTTATGGCTGGGTTAACGCTTATTTTAGCCATCACGTTGGGTTAAATCATCATGGCTAAATTCATATCTCTGAATTTATGTGAAGATAGGCAGGTGGGGGGAACTGAAGCATTCCTGCGATTGTAAGTGGGGCTGGCTGCCAAGTGCCTAAATTTTGATCACGTGTCTGCGGGGGTGCTGCAACAACTGTAACTTTGGGGATCAGTTGTATGTCCATTTTTTCAGCAGCGTCGTAACTTTGAACAGTCACTGAACACATCTTTGTAAATCAAGGACTACCTGTATTAAGTTTTATTTATTCTTAATGTTTATGTATACTAATATAGTGCAGCAGTTGGTGATTTCTATAATACGTCTAGTAACAATAGGGATATTCCAGTTCATGGATTCATACATATCTGGCCTGAATTTGAAAGGCTGACTTAATTTATAAAACAAGTCTGAATGTTGAGTTTTTCTTACAGTGCACAAGGGAATTTGCATCTATTTTCAAAATCCTACTGAACCTAGAAATGGGAAATATCATCCTTGCATCTGTGTTGTAACCAGAGTTTGAAACTGCATGTAATGCTGTTGGTTTTAAAAATTAGCAGCACAAAAAATTATATTTATCATTCATTGTTTTAGTACTCTATCTTAGCAACCTTTTATGGTTCTGTAAGAGGGGTCAGCATTATTCCCAAATTACCTACAATTTGGCCATGTAATATATTATTGGCCATGAAATTTCCAGAAAAGGTTTCCTCATTCCCATTGTTAGCCATGTACTATCACCATCTACATTTTTAAAAAATCATTGAGTTTTACAGTTCTTTTGTAGCTTCCTTTCTAAATGCTCGCCTTGAACAAACCTTTGCTTTGATGTTTCATCGCTACAGTATGATGTTGTCTTTACCATTGTTAGCTTTTTTATTTCTTTTTGTGGACAGTCACAGCAGTATTGTAGATCGCAAAAGAAGTTAGGAAATGACAGACAAGCTCAACTGGTTACTTTTCATCCGCAGGAGGACAGCATTTGCCTGTTGGTGATGAACGGTGTACTCATCTTATAGTTGAAGAAAACACAGTGAAAAATATTCCATTTGAGCCCTCTCCAAGCCTTTATGTTGTAAAGCAGGAGGTCAGTCTGAATATGGTACCCTGGATTCTTAAACACATTTGTGTAATCAGAATAAGAGGTTTTATAATGTAAGCCATGCTCAGTGGCTGTTCTTAACTTTGGAATGATAGATAGTTGCATGGTCTTGAATGAATGACAGAAAATACTTTTTCTCCCTCTAGTGGTTCTGGGGAAGCATACAGATGGATGCCAGAGCTGGAGAATCGATGTACTTATTTGAAAAGGTACGCCGCTATGCAAGGGAATGGAGAATTTGGGGAACGATAGGCAAAATCAAGCCAAGGTCTCTCAATTTGTTTCCCAGGTTAAACTTGCAAGGAAAAGAAATAATAATGACTTTGAATGGCAGAAACAGGCATCTGTACAGAACCTAGATTGTAAAAGGAAAAGAGTTACTAACCTGGACATCTGCATTTCCCTGTAGCCAAACAGCCCAGAATTGAAGACCTCGGTCTCGCTTCTTTCTCTAAATACTCCAAACAGCAACCGGAAGAGACGGCGTTTGAGAGAAACCCTTGCTCAGCTGACCAGGGACACGGACATGTCTCCCTTTCCACCTCGGAAGCGGCCATCGGCCGAGCATTCCCTTTCCATGGGATCGTTACTTGACATTTCTAATACACCAGAGTCAAGTCTGGCTAACGGAGGTATAGCTGAACTTTCTCTGTATATCTTAATTTTTCTCATGGAAATAAAACACCACTGGATTGCTCTGCTAATATGAGTAACAGGCTTTTTCCTTCTCAAACTATGCAGGGAAGAGGATAGAATTGAGGAACACGGAGAAAGATAGAGAGAAAGGCACCTCTCATGTCCTTAGACTTAGCCGGATGAGGAAGAGATCGTGCAGATACTCCAGTTGTATTTCTTTGGATAGTGCTTCTTGTAAACGTTATATAAGTTCATTAGAAAGTCTACAGCAAACAGCCAAGGCAACTAGCAGTAATGTACCTGAAAGCCTAGTTAATGGAACATCTCAAATGAATCTCCAAAAATCTTTTCTTTTGCCAATGGAATGCAAAAAAAATCATGTAAGGCTCCATTCCGTTCCGGTTTTGAATGATGTCTTGTGTGAACATCCTCCAGCTATAAGCATGCTGAGAACTTCACAAGGTGATGATGGGTTGACTGACAGTGTTTTTAGATAGAAAGGGCTATTTACTTAATGCAGAACTTAAGTGCAACTCTGGCACCAAAGGGACAATTTCAGAATGAAGGTTGGATCAGTTTGGAGAATCCACTTGCAAACCAAATCAGCTTTGTCCCAGGAGAGATTCGATATAAAAATAAGCTTTTCCAAAATGCGCAAGCATTAGTATGAAGTACAGGAAGTGAGAGGAATAACCAGCAAAAAAGCTTTAGGAACAGGAATAGTTTTTTAGGCTGGGATACCTGCTGATGACAATCATAGTTGGGTAATTGGATCTGACTAAAATTTTGAATCAAATTCAAATGTCAGTTTCAACTACATGTTTGTGCTGATAGCAGGCAAGCATTAGTTAGATGCTATTTAGAATTCATAGTATACCTAAAATGGCTAGTAATTAATCTTCTCACAGCAGATTGTACAAGTGCAGAGTACTTTAGTTGTTTTCCCTAATGGTACTGATATGACAGTCAGCAGTTATTTCACAAAGAGACAGTAGTGGGCATAACTACAAATCACCTGATGATATTGGAAATGACCTTTGCAAACAATTTTTTCTGTTTTAAGAAAAGTTTGCTTTGGGCAAACATTAAAACTGTTGTATTCAGCCCCAGTTCACGTTAAGTGGGCCTTTCTGTTTAAAGAAGAGTTGTTTTGTAGCTTCTGTAATAAATTTCTGGCTTTCTTTAGAGGAAAATGTCATATCATTTCTCCATCCTTCACAGAAACTCCCAAGTCTTGTGCAAAGCCATCCAAAAACACAACTCCCTTTCCTTCAAAGCAATCAGCAAGGTGGCAGGTTGCAAAGGAGCTCTATCAGACAGAAAGCAACTATGTAGATATCCTGACAACCATCATCCAGGTAAGTTAATGGAAGTTGCTTCATTTACTGCATATTTCTTGAAATGATGCCTTAAGTGACTTCCGTTAAGACTGATATTGCAGCAGTTGGTTAGGGATGATTCACTTATTACACAGAAAATATGCTTGTTATGCTTAGATATGGTGGAAGAAGGGGAAGGCAATGGCCTTATTTCCCTCTCTGACCCCAGGACTACCTTCTCTGCTGTTCTGGAGGAGCTTTTAAGTCTCTGGAATGAATCTGTGTGAGGGGACGCAGTAGGTTTGCAGGAGGAAGGAACAACTGTCTCACATACCCACATACACACGTTAACTGAGGCAACTGCTAAAGCCGAGTTGCTTCACTGACAAAATAGCACCTTTGGTTTCTGATTAAGGCACAGACATAGTCATTTGTTCATTTATATTTTTAATCTGTCTGGTAATGCTTTCTGAGTATCTTGCTTATGTTAGGCAGCAGCAGCAATTAGCCACCGCTCCTTGGCAACTATCTACCGTACAGCATGCTTGCACTGAGATGGATTTGTAGGATCTCTCTAGCATCATGAATGATTTAGCCTGAGGTGTGCCTATGTTGGGCTTGTCTGTTTCAGGTATAAAATCTTAAATCCCATGTTGGGGCTTGAATCTCACAAGAAGCTTTTTCTGGAGGTTTATTTTTAGAAGGGGATGAAGTTACTTCTGTGCCTTAAAGGACAAGCCCAGCGTATGATTTAGAGGAGAGTATTTTGCAGTTGCTATTTCTCAGAGAGAACGGGAGGGAGAGAGATTCACAAGAACAAAAGGAAATAGGTTGGCAGAAGGGATGGAAGAGAGGATTAATCAAGTCTTGTCTGACCCACAAGCATACACAAAACATCAGTGCATGTATGTAAATATAGTCACTCTGCCATAGTCATGTATGATTTGGTAGTATTGACATCTTTTATAAAATTGCTGACATTTGCTTTTTTTCTTCAGGTCTTTCAAGTTCCCTTGGAAAAGGAAGGACAGCTTGGAGGCCCCATTCTTGCACCAGAAGAAATCAAAACTATATTCGGCAGTATTCCAGATATCCTTGATGTACATATTAAGATAAAGGTGGTATCATTTTTAAAACAGCCTACATTGCGAGTATTTGTTGCTTAAACTCCTTGCTTGTGCTACACTGGAAAAATGTTAACATTCCTTAATGATCTCATTAGTAAATAAAAGAAAGGAGCAGAATTGAAAGTGGGCCTGGTGTCATCATAATCTGTTAAATTTATCTCCTTCCTTTCCTCCAGGGATTATGTAACATTCCTTCCTTCAATTACTCCCTGCACCAACAGTTCTGTAAAGTAAATTAGGCTGAGAGGTTGTGACTGAGTCAAGCTCACCCATGACTTCCATAGCCTACTTGAACCTGAGATTCTCCAGTTCTACTCCAACGCCTTAAACACTCCAGCAGACAACCCCAGAGTCTTGTATAAACAACTTTCTAATATTTTGAAAGTTTGCATGAGCACTGATAGCTGATGATTCTAGATCTTCAATTTTGCTTTGGAGCATTCTGCAGTATTGCTAATGCCATTGTTTAGTGACATTGTTACTGACTGAGCTCCTTGACATTAGCTTGATTAAGTATTAAAAATAAAGTTTTTCTTACTCTCCCCTTACTCTCCTCTCCTGGCTTCCAAGCATCGCATTGAACAAAAAATCATTTAGAAGTTCAGACACCAAGCTAATTTGCCTTTTTGGAGCCATGAATAATTGCAAATGGATAGAGTGCCATCTTTGTTGTTTTAGGAAGACCTTGAAGACCTTATGATAAACTGGACTGAAAGCCAAAGCATTGGTGATATTATACTTAAATACGTAAGTTTTGTTTTTTGCACTAGCTATGTTATTTTGTGTCCAAAGTGGATCTTTCACTTTTAGTATTTCCCCTTGTTCATGCAAAGGAGCCTTTTGTCTTGAAGGCGCTGGGAGAACGTAATGTAGCTGTACTCTTTGATTTAGTATTATTGGGCAACATTTGGGCAAGGGACAGTCCTGTCTATGCTCTTAGGTTTATTGAATCATGAACTTGTGTTCAGCAGAGTTAAATAACTCCATATAGACGCATGATTGCAGCTGTATGTTAATAATTCTTAGGCAAGGTCTGGGTTGTAGTTTGAAATGCTAATTTTCACTGAAGTGGTCTATTCTGTAGGTCCTGAGATTTTTGAAATAAAATGTTTAAAGAGAATGAAGTTTTATTGACCTGCAAGGATGTGGGATCTTACATAGGGATAGGTTATAGAATAATTTGAGTTTAGAGACATTGGTAGGAGCAGTGTGCAAATATAGTATTCTGCTATTATTTCTGCTTGGGCCAGTATAAACATTTATAGGTTTGCTTTGCAATTATGTGTAGGTGTTTGTTATACAAACCATTCAATGCATATTAAAGGCTGTGCAGCTCTTTGGATTTGATCTCCAAAAAAGACCTCAAAATATGCAGGAGTGCGAACAGAGCCATGCCTTTTCCCTGGATCACACAGCTGTCTTCTGTATCTGCCACATGATTCTGGGGAAAAGATGCAGCTACTTTAAGGTGTTGCCAACAGGTGCTGTGTTTGCCCCACTGCATGCTCTGGAGCACTTTTTGGAGATTGAAGCCAACATGTTATACAACCCTAGTGCATCTTATCCTTATAGCATAAACACTACAAGCTTCACGCATCTCACTGGTGGCTACATTAAACACATATCTAGACTGCTGCTATTTATATGGGAATGTCCATGGAAGAAATATCCAGAAATTTTTCCTGGGTTTCTCCCTATGCTGTTGCTTGATTATTCAAGTTGGCAATCTACGTTTATCATTTAGCAACATTGATGCTATAGCTGAACTTAGATTAGGTGCATATAGAATGAGTCAAAGGATGATTTTTGTTAGATTGTATAAATATATATGGGGATGCTGTAAAATAGCTGCTCAGAATACAAACTTTCTATGACTGTCCCATTAAACTTAGTTTTTCTGTGGATAGAAGACAAAAATAAACCTACACTAAACACGTTGGACAGATTTTTCTTCTGTAAAAGGATCTTTCAGAACAACTGCAGTGTCTGGAGGATACCTCTGAAAACAAAAAGGGGGAAACTTTATAACTGGGAGCTCCATTTCAATTTCCATTTTATTGTATTGCTTCCAAGCACTGAAGAAACATATGGTGATCTGACTGCAGGAGATGACAACCTCTATTTCCAGATAGGCAATTAGGTTTTCCATTTGGGGGGTGGGTTAATGGAGGTTAATTTGAAGGGAAATATGCATGTTAAATCTGTGCGGGGGTTAATGTGGATATTTCCTGTTTTAAAGTCAAGACGAGTTCAAAGAACCTACCGAAGAATTTTCATGTCAAGCCCCTGAGATAGGCTGTGAAAACTGCAACAATATTGCTGGGGAGCAGTCTTTGGGCTACAGGATCCCCCTCTAAGCCAGTGTTTCTCAACCTTGGCAACTTTAAGAGGGGTGGACTTCAACTCACAGAATTCCCCAGCCAGCCAAGTTGCTAAAGGTTGAGGAACACTGGCCTAGACGATTCCATTTGGAGGACTTTATCAGCATTACACTTTTAATATTTTTCCATAGCCAAAATTATCAGACTAGTAATCAAAATATTTTATAATAGCAGGTTTAATGAACAGCTATCCCTACTAACGCCAGCAGAGGTCAGCTTTATCAGTGGCATAGAACTACTTTAGCAATTATTCAAACTGCTTGCTATGAAGCACCAATATTCTTTAATTTTTCAACTACATGCATGTTGTAAATAAATGTTTGGGATTCTTTCAGTCTAAAGACTTGGTGAAGACATATCCTCCTTTTGTGAACTTCTTTGAAATGAGCAAGGAAACAATTACCAAGTGTGAAAAGCAGAAGCCCAGGTTTCATGCTTTCTTAAAGGCAAGTTATTCATTTGCTGGTTCTAATGCAGTGATCTATCTCCTGAAAGGTGTGATTTTTGAAACTGAGACAAGCAATTAAGACTTGAGCACCGTGGATGCACAGATATGCTAGAATACCAGCTTGGTTAATGTAATGAGGAGAGTTGCAGCTTTGAAATTCAGAATAGGGACCATTTAGCTTGATGGAATAACAGTATATCTTTTACTTCTGTGTAAAATATAAATAGCACCTGATCCTAATGTGCTTTAAAAGGGCAGAAGCTAGATTGGCAAAAGTTTCTTGCTTGCACTTATAGAAAGAACAAGGATGCAGAGCATATTTTTCTATAACAGGAGCTTACAATCTCATTTGTACTTACCTAATTTGCTATTTGTAAACCCAAGCTATCCTCAGGAGATCTGGGCCATCAGTAGATAATGAGCTCCACTCCTGAGCCTTCCTTTTGCATTTGCTTCTCCTCTTTCCTCTGATTTTCATGATTCAACTTAGTAGACAAAGTAGCAGAACAAATGTCTTCCTATGCATGCGTTAGAACACAGTGCAGGGGGTGAAAACAAATGACCTCTGCCGCTATTAAGTTGAAAAGAAGTCTCAATTTGTCAGCCTTGTATGTCCAGACAGCTTTACTCTAATATTTGGCTTCATGCTAGACCAGTGTTTCTCAACCTTGGCCACTTGAAGATGTGTGGACTTCAATTCCCAGAATTCCCCAGCCAGCCATGAATTGAAGTCCACACATCTTCAAGTGGCCACGGTTGAGAAACACTGTGCTAGACTACAGCCACTATTTTGCCCATCTTGTTTCCATGGAACTGGTGCAGACTCAAAATGATCTCTCTTACTGTTGGATCAGACCACTAGCTCAGTTTAAAAAAAAGTTTCTGCTTGCTTTATTTGTTTGTTTTTACCAACATTGGAGGGAGGAGAGCTGTTTAGGCATTCTGTTTTTCTCTTTTTAATAAAGGGTAACAGTGTAGTCAGCGTGATAAAGAGGGCCCCTACTATGAATATAATTAATGGGGAATGAGATATAAAATTAGCAGTGAAGAAAGACGTGGCTTTCAAGCTATTGATTTAACCATTTTTTCATAGCAATTTAGTAAATATCTTCTAGCAAGGTTTCCAGATAGGCAATTAACAACCTATGTAATATGTCAAACTTACATTTTTTAAAACTCGGTGACATATAAATGTGGAAGCTGCTGACGTTGTAGAGCTTAAAAAAAAAGAAAGATCTGTTACTTTCTAGAAATAATGCTACAACCTCTCTTGCAATAGATAAATCAAGCTAAGCCAGAGTGTGGCCGCCAGAGTTTGGCAGAACTCCTTATCCGGCCAGTACAGAGGCTGCCAAGCGTTGCCCTTCTTCTAAATGGTATGTTCATAAGCTGGTTTTTCTAGTAGCTGAAGTCATTAGTTAGCATTTGTAGATCAAATTGCTTGGGGTATAATTTTAGCTGTTTTCACTGGGTAAGTCCAACTGGGTCTATGCACTGTCTAAAGAAATGAACTGGAAAATATCTTTTTCATGGATGACAGGCATATGAAGTTTATTGTGTTCCCAAGTAATAGGTAATCTGTTTTAATCAGTGTTTGTTTTCAGCATTCATTGTAAAGTCTATGAACTATGCTCTAATTAAGATGCATAATGGAATGTAACTTAATGGCCACTTGAGATGCTCTTTTAGTACCCTGGCCCTGAAGTTCTCTGTCATCAAGATACACGGATTCATTGGTAGCTTAAACCAGGTATAATAATTTAGGCCTAAATGGCATCAGATTATATAATTTTAAAGTAGTACAGGCTGGCTTAGTTATAAAAAAGAATGTGCTTAATGTGAAGTCCCATAATTGCTCATTAAAACTGACTTTAAAAACCCATGGAAGAATATATAACTGCAGGAGAGAAATGATAGTAAAAATCAGTTCATTTAAACTTCCAGAAGTACATTTAAAAAATAGGGTTTTTTTCTAGAAGGAGCAGGGCTATTGCTCAGTGGGAAATCATGCTGTGAATATCCTCCTACTTGGTCTGTGTTTTCTCTTCCCCTCAAGTCCTCTGGACTTTTAGCTTGTACTTGTACACTAATCCTCATTGTTATGTTGTCTTGTGGTCTTCACTCTATTTCTTTACATATTCCATTTGATTGATACCTCCCCCCTTCCCGTTTTTTTTTTCTGGTAATAATCCTATGCAGTAAATTAGAGGTAACAACTCGCTTCATGAGCTTTGTATCAAATGGGGGTTTGAAACAGCTTTCTCTGTAGTCCAGTGCTCAAGGTGTCCTCCCTCCACTCCTTTCGGGACTGAGATCAAATTGTATGTGGTAAATATTTCAGTTTTCTTCCACATAGGAAACTAGGAACGTGCCCTTAAAAGTAAATAGTTAAAAAGCTGAGCTTGCAAGATTTCTGCCTCATCCAGGACCCTAATTTCAATTGCTAAACCCTTTAATCCAAGTACACAGATTTCTGTGGTGATAGCCTCGCAGAAATGTCTACTTTTTTTAAAGCAGCGTGTTGAATGTTGTTATGCACAGTAGTTTTGTTTCAATCTTGTTGCAGACCTTAAGAAACACACCGCAGAAGACAATCCTGACAAAGCAACCCTAGAGAACGCCATTGAGTCATTAAAGGAAGTGATGACGTAAGTCTGATGACTCTAGTTGATGCTAGTCTCAAAATTAATATAGCAAATTACTAGGAATGTACAAAACATTGCATGTCCAAACCATTCTGTGTGTGGAACATATGGCTTTGAGTGGTTGGTTTGTGCATCAAAATGTTGGGGCTATTTTGTTTTGAGTATGAACTGGAGAGCAAAAGGCAGAAGTGTCAAGCTGGGGAGAGGGATCATAGTGGGGAAAAGCCAAGGCTGGGATGTTTCCTTGGTGATGGTGTGTGCAGACACTGGCAGCCATGGGAAGGAGGAGAGGGGAAGATGAGGGGGCTGATGGGATATGGTGAGCTGGGACCTTTGCAGAAAGGAACAGAACCATTGGCCACTGCATTAGTGGCTGAGCAGAGAAGAGGGAGGGTGGAAGGTACTGGGAAGATTGGAGGTGGGTGGGCCAGCACAGAGGCCAAATGGAGATTTTGGGAGGGGGGCATGAAAAATTGCCCCAAGATCCCATTAGATTCTGCACTGACTGAAAGACAGAACAACCAAAATGTTCTAGGTTTTGTTTTTGCTTAACTGCTGCCAACCTGAAATGGTTCAACAGAACTTCTAATATATGATGGCTTCAAAACTAATTTTTTTCTGTTTCTATTTTGTGCACAGCCTTATAATTTATCTTGGAAGTAATGCGCATTGAATGGATTGCATAATAAGCTATATGGAAAGGCATCGGCAACTCTCTGCGTTGATACCTCCTTGCCTGCCTTTTAGAAAGCTGTAGCTGGTTGTCATTGTAATGCTTGTGAATAGCTGCTGACTACAGTTCAGTCCAAATAAAACTTAGAATTAGGTTGAAGATAAGGACCTGATTCAGTTTTCCTGGAAACTCACAGCTCCTAATCTGTTTCCTTCAGTGGTGTGTTTTGTAATGAGGGGTACCTTCATAAAAAGCTTCCAGTTAGTCTTGAGAAGGAGATCATTTCTTAAGGTGCTGGAATATGTTTTCAATCCTTTCTGTATAACTCCAAGAAGTGAAAGCTGAAGAATAAGCAGCGAATGAAATCACCCATAAGGAATGCTGAATGATTTGTTCCCTGGAAGGTTCATTGTATCTCATATTTCAGAATAGAAAAGAGAGAGCAGCCAGGGAATGTAATATTTTTCCATTTTCAGTTTAAAGACTTTTTCCAGTTTGGGGCCTGCTGCTTTCCACATTTATGTTTTTTTCCACATTTTCACCAGCATTTTCCCAAACTTTTTTTTTTCCTAGACACATTAATGAAGACAAAAGGAAGACTGAAGGCCAGAGGCAGATTTTTGATGTTGTTTATGAAGTAGATGGTTGCCCAGTAAGTAATGGTGTAATGCTCCGTTATAATGAAAAAATGCAGTAGTGGATTCGAGCAAAATGGAGAGAAAAAGAAGTGCATGATTAGGGCAGGGACAAATTTGGAATTCTGAGAACATGCACAGTGGCTGTATAGTGGCTGTGGGACATGCCTTCCTATTCTCAGTGGTATGGTTGTGCAAAACTCGCCCATCTGGAAACACTAGCAAGTGTTCCATTCCTCCTGTCTGGACCCAAAGCAGACTCGTTTTGCTTCAAATATGTCCAGGACTCCTCAAATGCTTCTGCTTCAGAGGATATACTTCCAAAAACTACTGAACTATCTCCAAATAGCATTGGCTGGAAAAGGTTCAGCATGGTCCAGAGAGAGAACAAACATTCTGGAGTTCTTCAGAATATGTTGTTCCTGAATTGATGAGATTTTCATTTCTCTACCATTCCAGTCTGAAAAGCATTCTTACACAGAAAGTTGATACTAGGAGTGAGTTCTTTGCTCCCCAGCATGCCAGTTTCCTATTTAATTTTTTATTAAAAGGATTGTTTAATAAAAGATCTTGGTTCCTCATCAATTTCTATATCATATGGGTCAGGGAACCCAGATTGGTTCTTTCTTAGCTTGTATATTGGAGAACAGTAATGTTGGTGAATACAGGTAGTCCTTGCTTAATTACCACAATTGGACCTGGCAACTCTGTTACTAAATAATGCAGTAGCTAAGCAAGACTTCATGTGACTGCGATGGTCTTAAGACCTCACTTCCACCATGGTCATTAAGCGAGTCACCGCAGTTGTTAAGTGAGACACCTTGTCATCGTGACTTGAGATTTTACTACCAGCTTCTCCATTGACTCTGCTTGTCAGAATCCAGCTGTGAAGCATACAAATGATGATCACGTGACTGCAAGATACTGTGATGGTTGTAAGTGCTAGGATTGGTCGAAAAGTTACTTTTTCAGTGCCATCATAACTTCGAATTGTCACTAAATAGGGCAGTTGTTAAGTGAGGACTACCTTTACTAGGGAATTTCCTGTTTGGGAGCAAAGGAAGTACTGTATATAATCACAGATAAGCCCATCTGCAGATAAGCTGACCCTCAATTTTTTAATCACAGTGACAGGAAACTGCAAGTGATTACATCATCACTTATAAAACCATGAGATTTTAAGGCCATGACAGGTTTAAAAATATGAGCTTTGGTCCAGACCCAATTTTTGTGGTATATTTTGGAACCTAGCATTCTCAGCTTATCTGCAAGTATATGGTACTTGAGGCAGATGTCATCAAATTTCTGGGGTATTTTGAATTATGAATTTTGGTAAACAAATTAATATTGTTATGTGCTTTGTGATCTTTAGATATAGTACATTATTTTATTTGTTTTTCCTTACCTATCCAAATCAAATGACTGGGTAGGTTACAGCAATTAAAAATGATAAAAAACATCAATAATTTTAAAATCAATCTTCACCCAAGATGGATCCCAGTATCATTTAACTAGTGTTGAAAGCCTGGTAAAATAAAATACAGGTAGTCCTCGCTTACCAACCCCTCGATCAGCGACTGTTCGAAGTTGCGATGGCACTGAACAAGTGATGCTTATGACTGGTCCTTGAAGTTCTGGGGTCATGTGATCACCGTTTGCAACCTTCCCTGCCAGCTTCCCACAAGCAAAGTCAATGGGGAAGCTGGCAGGGAAGGTTGCAAGTCGCTCTGGTAAGTTCCCCCTGGCCGTCCTGTGCACTGTGCTGCACCCTCCTTCCCTTGGCCTTCCTGTGCTCGTGCCGTACCATAGGACCCTCTCCCAACTCACATGTGGCCTGCGCGGGGCCTCCCCTGCCCCCCCTGCAGCACCAGGGCACTTTATCTGCCAATCAGCAAAATTGTCCAGTGAGCCTGCAGGAGTCTTACCCTGCCCATGGGACCCAAGTAACTGATCAGGACTGCTTTTTCCACCAGTATCTTAATCTCTGGCTATGTAGGACCCACCAACTCTATCAAATCTCCCCATTCCAACTCTTCCTGTTCTCTCACTTCAAGGGGGAAAGAGGCAGCCCCCATCAGCATTCTCAGCTCTCCCCTGGGTGTCCTTAGTAACACCCAAGAAATCCAATTTATTCCTTATCTAAGTGGGTACTTATTAATTCCATGTGTAAGTACCCTTATTAGGTCTACTGTGCCACAACTAGCGATTTATGTATCCTGTGATAAAAAAACATGCTCCACTTTTATCATTATTTCTTGGTGATGCAGCAACCTCCCAGCTTTTTTTTTTAATGAGCTTCTCCTATGCCCAATAGGCTAACCTCTTGTCATCTCATCGCTGTCTAATTCAGCGCCTGGAAACGGTTGCACTTGGTGATGACCTCTGTGACAGAGGGGAGCAGGTCACTCTGTTCCTTTTTAACGACTGCCTGGAGGTAAGTCTGCAGTGACTCATTTAGCTGTGACATCCTGGAATGACTTGCAACTCCGAGGAATAAAAAACCATCCAAATACCTGGAATCTGTGAAGGGCAACTTGAATGCTGTTTTTTTTGTCCTCAGTCGAAACCATTGCACTGTCACTCAGCTGGTAAGGACTGCTGGAAAAATTGTCACAGAGAGCACTTTCCCTTTGAGTCTTAATGCTTTGTAACTCAATTCTGGGGATTGATGGGAAAGCCGGAAGAACTTTCTGCTGCTGTGACTTGCTGCAAGCAATGAAAACTTTAGTCAGAAGTAAAAGAGAGGCATTGTTGTTAGAGCAGAGGAGCTTTCAGAAATTCCTCCTGGCCAAATGAAGTACCTATTACTGACCTATTTCATAGCATGTGGAACTATGATTTACTTAACTGGTAACTGGTAAACTCCCATTGGATGAGGTCTCAAAACCAACACTAAGCATTGACCAAAGTGTACAATCAGGAGCTAGGTTCAGATCACATGGGAAGTCCAAATCAAACAAACTGTTCTATTACATGGATTACACTGTGCTAAACTGTGGCTTGTTTAAATGTAGTTTATGGAATGAACTACAGTTGAGTGGGTTTGCACAATATAATAAGAAAAAACCAAACCATGGTGTGTGAACCCAGCCCATGAATTGGTGAGATATAACCAAAATTCTACTATTGTCAAAACTAGAGGTTATATAATAATCATAGAATTTAATCTGATCCAGCTTCCTTTGCTTGGTTTCTGAGACTTTAGTTGGCATTTCACCCATAAAGACAAAACATAGCTCTCCTTTACCCCTCAGATACAAACAGATTCACTAGAAGTTGAATTCTGCATCTGACATTACACTGTGTACTGGGCTGGTCTTTTAGAAATTGTACCAGTTGTGTAGCCTTGCCAGTTCATGTAATTCTTGTCAGCTTAAACTGCATTTAACCACCGCTGTCCCCATTGTATGAAATACTTTCTGTGAATCAGCCGTTTTGGAGGATGCTTGATTTCTATCTGTAAATGTAGCTTTGATAGACTGTTGCTTTTAACACTTGATTCATCTGAGCGAGTAGATCTGCCTCCATAATGATTTCAGAGGGCTCTGAAAATGTTGCATTGTTCTAATAAGCTCTTGCTTGTGGGACTGAATGCCACACTGTTTGACTGATAAAAGTGAATGTGTTCACCTCCCTGTGCATACAAGAAGATATATTTACTGTGATATATACTCTTAGTAAGATCTGCCATTTCTATCAGTATACCAGGTATAGAAGAAAGCGATCCGTTATACTGATTCTTTAACAAATGCCTTAACAACTTGATTTTTCCAACAAATCTCCCAGCCCAATAGCTCACTACTGTATATACTTATGAACCTGAAAGGAGACTTGACACTCTTCAGGTTTTGTTGCCCTTCTCTACTGTCTTTCCATCCTAACGTCCACTTGACGCACAACAAGCCAGAGAGCATATTAGATTGGTTTTCTCTTTTTGGTGGATTGATGGATTGTGGTTAACACTAGTATAATTCATCAGTTGGTCTCTTGGTGCTGCCGACAGTCCTGGCACTGTTTCAAGCTCTCAGGACAGTGCTCAGCAGCCCATAAATTCTCATGGGACCTATTTGTGGTTAATGTGAATCGGTAATATGTCTGTCAGGTAATTCTGTTTTGCTGCTTCTTAGGCTACAGAAATGTCCACACAAGCAGTACAACCGGAAATTGCTGTTGGAAAGATACTGAGCTGGGGAAAACAAACTGATCAAGTTTCAGAGGCTTGAGTCTAGCAAAGGAGAGGCCATAAAGCACATGTTCATTATGGTCTGTCCAAGTTGCATCATTAAGGATGTACAGTCTTCCATGCAAATCTGCCCTAAATAGTCATGAGTGAATCTGAACCCAGCCCTTCATCTGTGATGTTAAATACTTAAGCAGATGGCCCATTGAATTTTAATTGCCAGGACTATAATACTGTGTGTGGGTTGGGTATAATGGAGTTAATGGTTGCAGAATTCAGCTACCTGAGAATCTCGATGGTCACTTAGGAAAGAAAAAAACACCTTTTCTTATTTTGTTCTAAATATCTGTCTTCCTTTTCTGTGCCACTAAAGGAGCTACAATGAGGCTATCATAAAGCCCAGTGCAAGTAAAATCATAAAAGCAAAAACAGCAATGGCATTGATGAATAGCAGATAAGTAGAGTCTCCAGCTGAAACAGAAAATCCAGTCAGAACATACCTTTATTAAGATTTATTTATTTATTTATTTATTTATCACCAGCACGTGTCAAAAATATGCAGAGGTATTGTTTCTTTACTTAAAACATGCTTATTTGTCTTCTAAACTCTTCATCTCAGAGTACCTTCCAATGGGGCAATGCTTGCCCTCAAGTTTATAATCTAAATTACACCATGTGGCAGGAAAAAGAAAACATGGAGAGGAAGTAAGATAAAAGCAAACTCAAATATCAAGTTGTGGATTTCTTATAATGATCAGTTGAGAGAACCTGTTTGGGGAAAAGAGAAGGCAAAAAAGCTGATCTTCAGCATTGAGCTAGAATACCCTTGTCCTTTGTCTGTTGCAGCTCGATGAAATGGTTGGTGTGAGATATGACGATTGAGGAAGGAGTATGGACTTTTTCAGACTTCTAGATACAAATTATAAGGAATAGAGCAACTGTCTTGGGGCAGGGCATATAACAGCCCAAATGTCAACAGTTTGTCTGTGGTGGATGAACATGAAATTAGGTGAACTGATTGTAGGAAATTTCATGTGGGAGGAGGATATGTGAGGCAGGAGACAAATTAGGAATTAGAAATCTTACTCTGTCAGTGCTGTTTTGTAATCTTGAAAAGCATTTGTAATTCTTAGTGTTTCCAGGCATTTCTCAGAAGTAACCTGTAATGTCATCACTGTGAACATTATTATAACGAGCATGAAGTATATAGGACTTAATAGGTTTAGACAACACTTGATGAGATCAGAAGTCATGATTCTCTGCCCTCTCCTTAACTAGAAGATACAAAATAGATTATGCAAAAGTAATCCCTGTAAATAGCTTAATATGTTGGTATTAAGCTCTTTTTATTTCCCAGTACAGTGCAAAAGCCATCACAAAACAGCTTATCTAATAAATCATAAATATTATGGGAAAAAAACATTAAACTGCATTTAATTAGACTAGAAACATAGAGTTGGAGGGACCATTAATACCGAGTCCTACTACTCCTTAGTGAATCCAAATTAAAGCATCCGCAGGAGATGGTTGTGCAACCTCTGTCTTATCACATTCAACGAGGGGAGCTCATCACTACTCTAAGAAACTGGATCTATTATTTATCAGCTTTTAATCAAGATTTTTTTCTTGATACTCAAGTTCTTTTTGGAATTTAAGACTCTTGTTTTGTGCTTTGAGATTATTAAAAACATAATGTGATTCTCCTTCAAGTATTCATCTTTCAATCTAATTTTCTCAAAGACAATCTTCCCTCAGTCTCTCTCCTTGCAGGCCTTCATTTCCACTCACTGATCATCCTTTTTCCCATTCCTTTAACCTGTCTGAATTTTTCTTGAAGAGTAGTGTCCAGAACTTGCCACAGTAGCCAAGATGGGTTTTGACCAACATAAACTAGGAAAAACTATTGCTTCTGTGATTTGGGGGCTATACTTTACATACATATTCAATAATTTAGTGACCAGATTGCAACCAGTTTGTCCATGAATGTGTGTTTTAGTGCTATACATACTTTGGGTTATAATGAGTACTGCAAATCATTTGGTTGCTCAAGTTGATGCTCTTAGGCTGAGGTTCCTGTGCCTGTAAGACCACATTATTTGATTATACTTATTCCTTGATCAAGATGCCTGACAATAGTATTATATTGATCAGTAGTATTCCTTGATCAAGCAGGCTGAGGACTTTTCTGCAGAAGTGCAGGTTTTGGTATTTGGCACATTTGCAGAGAATTAGCATCAGATCTAGGCCACTGGCTATCCTGGTGGAAGATAATATGGATTGCACATCCACCAGTATGTGAACAGTAGTCTCAAAAGCCTGGAGGGCAATAGGTTGCCTAACCCTGCTCTCAAATAATTATCTTGCCCTCTGGACTTATGTGTGCTTGCATAGGCTGGATTTTAAAAATGGAAGGGATATATTTAATTAGCATTCCCTGATACAGTGCTCTTCTACTAGCCATATGCAGCCTAGGGACATTTTGCGAGCACAAGACAGAGGAGAAGGCAGCATGTGGTGTTCAAGAGAACATAAAATCTCTGAATTACTCTCATAAAAGAGGGGGCGCATGGCATTTTAAGAAGAAACTATAAATCCATATGTTGCCATTGCTTAGGCTTTTTGAAAGCCGCTGTTGGCTACAAAACGTGTCATTTAAAGGTCTCTCTGAATGTTGGAACTCCTTTTTCACTGAGTGTTTCTTTGGTTTGTAACAGATTGCGAGGAAACGGCACAAAGTCATTGGTGGCTTCAAGAGTCCGCATGGCCACACCAGGCCCCCAGCCTGTCTCAAGCACATCGTCCTCATGCCTCTGTCTCAGATCAAGAAGGTACTAGACATCCGAGAGACGGAAGGTTAGAACTTTTTCAATGAAATGGGGGTGGGTAGGCTTTGAACCCCAACCTGGTGTCTCCAGAGAGCTCCTCCTAGAATGCTCAGGTTGCGGAAAATTGAACCAATACATGGAATGATTGCTTCAAATGCTGAAGGGCTTGGGCATGGCTGAGCAGTGAGATCTTTTCCAAAGAGGTTTACTTGGCAGTCAGAGAACTCTAAATAACCCTTAAAAGGAGCAGTAAGAGAAGACAGTCAAATGTCAGCTTTGAACTTGTATTTGTAGAAAACCATTCTCAAAGCTTTTAAAGCACACAGCTCTTGCCTTTTTTTCCCCCTATGTGCTTTGTTCAATGCTTCTCTAAAAATAAAGCCTCTCATGTGGGTGTATTAACCTTTAAGAACAAAGGTTTATATGACTGGCACTTTAATCTTAAGCAGCAGTTAAGCCCACATTCCTGAAATCTTTTAGTAGGCAGATGCAGCTTTCCCCCCCCAGATTATGGCATTTACATGGCTGTAAGCCTCACTGAAATCAATGTGACTTTGCTGTGTAGACCACACTGTGGCATTAATTTCCCTTGTTTATATCAGCGTTCGTTGCAGCAACGTTCTATACCTTAGAAAGATGACTTTTCTATAATTTGAGGAAAAGTTGCCATGAACTGGCTTCCAACAGGCCTCTCTCAGTGCATACTTGCAAAATAACTCAAGCTTTAAGACATGAGTTGCGAGTTTCTATGCATTTTTTTCTCTTGGTACATTATTCCTCTTCCGGGGTTTGGTGTGGCAATGTGCTATGGGCTGTCCTGAGTGAAAATGAATCAAAGTGCTTGGGAAAATTAATTAAAGCCAGGTTTTCAAAGTTGAGTTTGATGACTTTGGGGTTATTTGAAGTTGGGTTGGCTTGGTTGTCAGAAAGAAGAGTCAACACAAGGTTGGTGAGGAGGGAAAAAACTTTGCATATGCCACCTGAATTTTAGGAACAGTAGAGCAAACTAAAAATGTAATAAGGAAGGAAGAGAACAGTTAAATAGCAGTAGAAGGGTCCTGCCCCTTAGCTGATAACTGATCTAACTTCAGCTCCTAGAAAGAGTGAGGGATAGATTTTATATGAGTATGAAGCAAAAGAAAGTATCCTGAAGTACAGTGAGTGGCAGGCAGCATCATTTTACTAGTTACTTTTCTATATCTGAAGCTTTAATAGTTTAAAATTCAAGCCAGGATTGTGGAAAGTGGGCTTTTCTGAAAAGTCATATGTTACTATAATCTGACAGTTGGGAAGAGAGTAGATGTTCTCAAGGGTTTGACCTCTGTCTCTGAAGACATGTCAAATGCAGCTACTTTGAATTCTCTGCAGTGATTCTTTGTCGTGGCTGAGTGTGTAGATATTTAGCTTTTACATCTTTATTCCACTTGCATGGCTTTGTCCCTTGGGATTGTGTACCTTGTCTCAGCCACTGCAGGTTTAGAGTGGCTCCATAAAACATAGTGCAGCATTATTACAGCTTAATTAGCTTTAGTCTTTTAGTTTTCCATGGCTAGAGAAACTAACCACTACAGGCTCTGGGGTTGGGAAATTCTCATAGGAATGGATTCTTTTAATAGCATTTCTTTTGGTCTTTGAAGCCCAGTGAATTAAATTCTCTGGTGGCACAGTTCTGATGTACTGGGTAACATTTTTAAGCTTCCAGTAAGCCATGAAAATGAGAGCTAATATGGGGAAAGGAAGTTCAGCTAGAGATAAGTATACAAAGAGCCAATTACATATTGTTATAGTTTGCTTGTTAATGTTCAGGACTATAAACGTTAGTTCTTACCTTGACTTAATGTTAGATCTCATAATATTCTCTAGTCCATGCTTTCCTTCTTTAATTGTTTGAGATTTAAAAAAAAATTTTTTTTTTTCTTTACAGACTGCCGCAAAGCATTTGCACTGGTTGTGCGGCCACCGACGGAGCAAAGCAATCTTTTGTTCACTTTCCAAATAACAACTGAGGAACCTCTCAAGGAGGACTGGCTGAAGATGCTGTGTCGGCATGTAGCGAACACCATATGTAAAGCAGATGCTGTAAGCACTTGAGATCAGAGTTGATACTGAGTACATACTGTAGAATGAGTTAATAGGACAGGTGACCTCTAAACTTTAGGGCTGGGAGTCACATTCGGGATTTCCAAAGCATCTGTGGGTATGCTCACAAAAGAGCTGCTTCCCACCATGTAATTTTCTAGAAGTGCTCAGGGGGTCCATGTGAAGCCCAGAGGGATTGGTGGGATTTATTTATTTATTAAGCTTCATTTGTATGCCACCTACTCCTTGCAACTCTAGGTGGCTAAAACCTAATTTTAAAAGAAGATTAGCAAATAAAATAATACTATTCCTAAAAAGACTATTGCCAGCCTTGGGAGATCTTCCTACTTGAATACCCTGTGAAACAAAAAAGTCTTAACCATTTTTCTGAAGGTCATAAGGGACACATTTGATCTCAGAAAGCATGATATTCCAGGAGGGGGCTGGAATATCCTGAGAATCTGGTTCTCCGAGTGCCCCTACCCCTTCCCCTCCTAGCACTTGAAGCATCTTTCTGCTAGACCATGTAGGGTAGACAGATTCTACCTGGAGAGATGGTCCTAAAGTTAGGGCTGTGCAATGTTTTGGATTTGATTAAGAAAAGGTATTTCAGAGTGGAAACCAATGTAGCACCTGTCTGTGACTCATTGAAGTAGTCACCTCTTTTTCTGGGATCACATGACTGCTGAGGAGAGACTTTCCTTGCAGCCCCAGGAATAAATGTGACTGCTTTAATGAGTCATTGTGATGGAATGGAATTATGAAGGCCAAGCTCAGGGAGATAAGCATTTTCTTAGCTCACCAGAACCGCGTGGGAGGAA